CAGAAGAAAGGTTTTTGTTCGAGGTATTGACGATTTGTGGCAAGTCGACTTGATAGAAATGATACCTTACTCAAAAGCGAATAAAGGGAAAAAGTATATCCTAATGATAATTGATGTTCTTTCAAAGTATGCATGGGCGGTTCCTTTAGACAACAAAAAAGGGAAGACAGTGGCCTCAGCTATGGAAAATGTTTTGAAAAATAGCGGAAGAATACCACAAAACATTCAAAGTGATCTTGGTACAGATTTTTATAATAAAGAATTTAAATCCTTAATGCAACGTTTTGCGATAAATCATTTCAGTACATTCACCCATTTGAAGGCCTCTGTGGTAGAAAGGCTGAATAAAACGATTAAAAATTGGATGTATAAGGAATTTGCTGTACAGGGAGATTATAGGTGGCTAGACATGCTTCCTCGTTTAATTTCCATGTACAATTCAAGGCTACATCGGACAACAGGCATGAGACCACGAGATGTTACATCGTTTCACGAGAGGGCATTGGTGAGGAAATTAAATCAAAACAAGGTACAAGGGATTCCAAAGCTAAGAGTCAATGATAAAGTCAGGGTTTCTAAGTATAAAACTTTGTTTGAAAAAGGTTACACCCCAAACTGGAGTACTGAATTATTTAAAATCATACGAGTGCGAAAATCTGTCCCACCAGTGTACTACCTGCAAGATGAAGAAGGGGACATTATCAAAGGGGCATTTTACGAACCAGAATTACAAAAGACAAATTACCCAGATACGTATTTGGTTGAAAAGGTTATAAAGCGCAAAGGAAACAAGATTTATGTCAAATGGCTTGGGTTTCCCTCACGCTACAACTCGTGGGCTTAAATAGTATATTAACCTGTTTCTCCCATCATTCTGGATTAGATCTTGTTATTGTAAACATATATTGTACAAGCTATGATTAGAAGACACATTATAGATAAGTTTGGACATGCTTTGTATCAAGAACAGAAGCATCACTTATCTGATGACGAAGATGATGCATATGTGATAAGTGAAGATGGATCAAAGAGGTTTAGAGCTGCAGTGGAACCTGACGTATCACGACAAAAGGTGTCTAAAGGCTATTTAAATCGTTTCTATGTGAACAAAGACGATTTGAATGAGGTGGAAGGAAAGTTAAAGACCTTTGTTGTTAGCCTCAAAGAGGCCCAGCAAGCAGTTAAGGATGTAAAACAATCAATAGTCTCCATAGAGGGTTCTATCAAGACCGAGCTAAAAGACATAAAGGAGAATCAGTTATCCTATCACGATAGACTAAACAACTTAGAAGAATCAGATGGGAAATCATCACAATTAATTGCTTCCTTGGATAACAAACTAATAAAGCTAGTTGAATCAGACGAGAAAACGTCTGCATCTTTATTATCTTTGGATGATAAGCTCAAGAAGCTGAAAGACTCGGATGAGAAAACGTCTACACATTTGTTATCTTTGGATAGAAATGTCAAAAAGCTGTTTGAATCAGATGAGAAAACGTCTGCATCTTTAGTATCTTTGGGTGATAAGCTCAATAAGCTACAAGACTCGGATGAGAAAGTTTCTACATCTTTGATGTCTTTGGATAAAAGATTCAAGAAGCTACATGATTCAGACGGGAAACAATCTAAATCGCTAGTATCCTTAGATGGAGAGGTAAAGAAGCTGCAGGAATCAGATGAGAAAACATCAAAATTATTAAGGACCATTGATGAAAGGCTAAACACGTTGGATAAATCAGATGCCGAAACTTTAAAATTTTTTGCAACTATTGATAGAAAGCTCACTGCATTACTTACGACAACAGGATTATCTATCTCTTAAAACTTCTAGCATGTATAAATAAATGGAAACCTGTCTAGACTTGTTGTCAAAGCCTTCTTTATACAACAACGTTATGTAATCGCAAAAAAGAAAGAGATCCAAGAGGTTCAATGGATTTGTCCTTGGCGCTCAGCATCCGCCTCGTAAGGTCAATGATCGTACTAAGACCTGTCCAGACCTGCAAATACACTGCATATAAAACCTAGAACTGGTTTGCTGGTTCAGTCAGTATGAACGCGTCAGTGAAGCGGTCGGCACCAGTTCCACGTAAAGATCTATCGCGAGTGAAACGCAAACGTACTAAAGCTCCCCCTATACCCCCAGTGCATAACGTAATATACTCCGATGTAAATACTATGGACATTGACCAGCTTCTTGCATCTCTAACTGGTGAGACTCTACAAGACGTATCTGATTCTGTACACACAACAGCAGGTGCAAGTGCGATCCAAGCGAATTACTATACCCGCGAGTGTTCAACAGTTTGCAGTGAAAATGGTAATGCAGTGGAAGAGGATGAGGATTACGATTCAAAGGAAGTGGAAGAGTATCGACCGGAACAGCCGTCAATCGTACAACAGAAAATACCAGCCCACTCCAATTCGGCAAAATCTGGCACACGCGCCAGGTCGAGCCAGGTTTTTCGTCAGAAAGGTCATCAAGAAAAACTTCATGCCTCGATTTTGCCATCACTGTCATCACAACTGCCACCACCGCCGCCGCCACCACCACCACCACCTCAACGTTCGCAACAACTATTATCAAATACATCAGCACTTAAGCTATCTACGTCGCCGACCACACTATCGACTTCACCTCCAGTGTCATACGTGTGTTCTTCTTCGACGTCTACTTCAACACCTGTGATGACAACATCTGTGGTGAGTCACTCTCATAGTTCACACAAAGCAGCTGTGCGTTCTAACCAGCAGTCTAACTCATGGGAACCACGTCTTTTACTCAGACAGATTTACAAAGTTGCAAGCCAGGCTCATGCGGTTGTTGGTCTTGATTCTATTAAAGACTTTTCTCCTTCTATTTGTTTAGTGAATAATGAAACCTCAATTGAATTGACATTTGAAGATCTTTTAAGTCTGCAAAGCTCTACAGTTCACCACTCTGTCAACAACTTTTACTCCAATGAAACTCCATTCAATCCATTCTATCTACATACAGTCATATTGGAACCCAGACCAAATGGATTAGTATCATTTTGTAACTATCGTCTGAGAAATAAGCCAGTTAATCACAATTTGAATTCTGTTACGCTTTCGAGAGCTTCTAGTGAATCTGATATTATTCGACAGACTCCCAGAGTGGTTCTACAAAATGATGGATGGATTTCTTTAAAACGCTTGTTCCCATCCCTTGAAAGCTACTTTAATATCCTACTTGAAATAAACCCAACTGTGCAGTTTCTGATCTCTCGTTACACACGATATTTTACCAAACACTATAAGGTAATGGCCTTGCTTTCTTCAAACACTACAAATGACTTGACTTCAATGACTTTGGATAAACAACTCGTTCGACACATTACAAGTGATTTGCCACGTTTACTTTCTGACTTGAATGAAAGGAGGTTGCCTGCAGAGACTCAAGATTTTTGGTATGAACGGACTGCACTCAGGACATCAATGATGCCGTGGATAGACAGTGAGGTACGCCGCTTTTGTGCAGCAAACATTACCGAAGCTGTGATGGAGAACTTAAAATACTTGTCAAAATGGTAAAGAGAAAATTGCTGTATTCAATGTATCTTATGGTAATATATTTGTATTACAAACTGTGATTTTCTTTATTTGTTTACCCTTTCCTTCAGCAAAGCTAGCAACAACACAGTAGAGGATTGACTTTACTTTTCTTAGCATCCATAGCAATAATACTTTTTAAAGTAATTTTTCAGAGGGTGTTTGGAAAACTTTTAAATAATGGGTTTAGCAACAAACAAAGTAGTCAAGTTTAACATAAGTTTATTTGAAAGATAAATGCTATATAGATAACACCAACATAACAGGTAACCATAAACATTTTAGATGTGTTTATTATATACAACTCTAGCGTTACATAAATGTGTTAAGATTAGTAAACATATAATAGTAAAACAAATACAGATAGAAAAAGGTTGTTAGTACATTACAAAATATTCATAAAATGTGCACAATAATATACATGTGTTAAATATCATAATGCTAAGCATTATCTTACTTTGTTATATCATGTTATTAAGTTATATTTTAGCTATATACTACTAGAATTCAGTTCTCAAGTAGATAACAACTCTTATAGAGTATAGACAACAAAAAGGCATGAGTTCATCAAATTATTTTACATTAGCTAGGGTTTACAATAAAACATAATATATAAACAGAAACGCAAAACAAACAAAGTAAACGTGAAATTGTATGGTTAGAAACAAAATTTGGCCAACAGCCTCATTGTTCAAATATGCTGGACTAGCGTATGTCACTCTCTATACGGATCATAAAGTTCTGTACGGTTTAACATTGTCACTGGAGATGCGGGGCTGTCTTCATCACTATCATATAACATGTTGTTATTGTCTCTACAGTCAAAGTAGTTTAGAAATGTAAACAATGGTCGAAATACACAGTAGTCACACCAGTTATTTTCTTGTTTAACCACTGCATCAATTAGCCTGTTAGAGTTAACTTCAAAATGCTGTACAACATGTACAAATGCCAACCCCTTTTCGTGCCAATAACTTTGATAGTCAATATCATTATCGTCTTTTTGTGTAAAAAGGTTAAAAAAGCAGCCTCGACAATACTTCATAGGACGTTCTGTTTGTATTGTTTCATAGTAGTCCACATTTATATGACAATTATTACCATAGTAATTTCGACTCCAAAACTCTGGTTCCTCCAGAGGATGGTTCATAAGCATGACAAACTGATAACTATCAATTTGCATAAAGTCGATATCTCTAAACTCATAACTTTTTATTAAATCTCTGTTGACTGTTGTAGTTTTTATCCAAGTCCGTTTAATAGAGCTTCTCAACTCTGTGTGCATGAGGGAAGGGAGTATCGAAAACATTTCGATATCCTCGATTCTTTCGTATTCTTTTTCATATGGAATAGTACGGGCAACGGCATCCATACTCAATGAATACAACATTCTGACTACTCCTAAAGAGTGCTGATCAACCATCGAGCTAAGACTGACTACAATCATATTCTGACGATCCTCCATCGTCATTTTGACGAGCTCGATAATGCCCATACGCCAAAGTTCTAATTTTGTCCTGCAACACTATGCGTTTGTTATCATTGGCTGACAGAGAGAGTTTATCAACTGTTCTAGAGGTGAGTTGAAATGTCTTGCTTCTTATCTGGTTAAATGTCGCTCTGTACTGTTTATCTTCAAACAGTGCCTTCTTGTAGTGATCAAATGAAATTTTGTTTTCGACATAGCGTTTGCTTATTCCCTTACACTTTTTCTTTGCCGTTGTCTGTTGGCTGGAGTTGAACCTGTAGCAGTACATTTTACAACGCAATCCTACGTACTCAAATAGCTGTCTTCCTTTGCATTCATCCTTAAATGTGCCTATTTGAGGAATCGCTCCTTCCAGCCACAGCTCATGCTCCTTGGGATAGCATGACCTATCCAGTACATCTCCCAATCTTTCCTTCAATTCATTATTTAGGTTTAACTTGGTAATTATGGTATATAATAGAGAATCAGTATCAGAATAGTTAACATACACTTCAAAGTCTGGCGGAGCTAGTTTTTTCTTCATAACCATATAATGAAACCAGTTCATATGAACTTTTGCTTTGTCGAGAACTACTGAACCAACATAGACTGGCTTGTTTAATACTACCTTTTGTCTTCTTAAATGTACCGCGATCACACCATCAGCGATAATGCTTCTGTCAACAAATCTTGCTTGACGTGACAGCTTCTGGAACGCTTCATCAGAAGTTACTATTCTAATATCTACACGATTGCGCACGTTTTCTAACGTCTTTCCAAACACACTATTATTCATAAACTTGTAGAAATTTTTGGAAAACTCATTCGTAGATTCAGCTCTTAATGTGGTGTTTTTGTCGATGAACTTTTCCATCCACGGCGACTGGGAGAATCGCAACGCTCTGTGAACTTTTGTAATTTTCAAGCCTAATTTGACTGCCTGCTGGAACACTGTATAGTGAGCGATATAGTGTTTTTTATCTTCAAGCGTAGCAAGTAGTTTTCCCTGATTATCCACATCTTTTTGTTCTGGTAAGATGGGGAAGTCGTTCATTAGATCGTGCAAGTGCTCTGGCACTGTGACATCACATTCTAGTAAAAGTCCATACGGCGAATCTTCAGGTAAGTTTGACCAATTAAGATCATCAACATCATTTACAAACTCAAAATTTCCAGTTGGAAGGTGTTTTTTCATTTGGCTTCCATACAAGTTTATGCAGTCCAAATACAACATGTATTTGGTTTCTTTGTTTGGATCATAGTCTTCGCTGTTCTCTAAAAGTGGGTTGTTGGCTTTTTCATAGCGGTGGCAGCATTGTACCAAACCGCCTCTAATCGCACTTTCAAACATTAAGAAATGGTCATAGTTCGTCAACAATTCCAAAGTTACACCAGTCATACGTAGCATACTCTGCCATGCTAGACCTGGCGCTGTAAATGAATGACAACAGTCAATGTTATAGGTGGCTACACAGTTTTTGCGAAAGCATTGAATTATGTCCATTAAAAGACAAACATCCAATAACAGATAAAAATCATGGTATTGTCCAAAATTTTTCATTTTCATTGTATTCCAAGTGTGTTGGGCATGTTGATATTCTGCATCCGTAACTTCCGAGTCATTGAGGGCATTGTAAAAGCTTTCACGTGGTGGCAGTGCTTCCTCACTGAATACAGCAAAGTCTTTTACATAATCATAGGGATAAATCCCTTTTCTTTGAATCAACTCCACATGCTGTTCTGGCACAAGCTTGGATGACTCTACGAGTTCCGTCGGTGTGAGATACGAAGCGAGATTCGCAAGGCTGTCCGCCATTAGGCGAAATGAATCCAAAAACCTAAGCCACATCCTCCCAATCTTTATCGATATACTGATGAATCTTTCTGAATTACTAGGGATCACTTTTATTTCGCTGTTGGGTAATACTGCCAAGTTCTTAATAATGAATGCTTCGTCGTATGAAGAAAGGTTGTGAAAGTATATTGGTATGAAGTTTGGAAGTTGACAGCGGGTGTTACACAACGAGCACAAGGTATAACGGAACTGACCTGTTATATGGTCGTGGTCCCGGCATTTCCTTGACTGAACCAATGTCTCATCAAATGCTATTTCACACAGCTCGCAGTTTGTCGCTTCATCATGCTGTTTCTGTTGTTCATCATTTAATGCAATCATGCTCACATTTTTAGTGTACAGCTTTTCCACTTTTACAGCTAGCTCCTGCATTTGTAAAAGGAATTCTTTTGCAGCCGATTCCGATCTGTGTATGTAGGGTGAGGTGTTTATCTCAGCTTCCTCTAACAGCTCTTTGGGAAGGTTACTTGCTACGATATAAGCAAACGAGTTCGCCTCGTGCCGTTGATAGGCATTGTCTGTCGAGGGAACTGGATATAGTGTTGATTCGAAGTCAGCTGTGACTACAATTGGTACTTCAATTTGCATCTCGTAGCTAACAAATCTAAGTTTGCTTTTATGCTGCTCCGGCAAAATCACTTCACTTGGTTTTGATTTTCCACAGAGCATTAAATGTTCACTCAACCAGTGCTGAGGTGTCGGAACACAGCGCCTGTTTTCTTTAAAGGTGCTACACCTTTTACAGATTGTAATTTTGTTGCTGCCTTTTGTAATTTGTGGCTGCATAAGCTTTGTGAAATTCAATATTAACGTAAAATGAGCCTCTCCTTCAACATTTCTAACGAGAAGGAGATCAAAATGGTCTTGCTGCTCATCAACTATCCTGAGTGGTGTAATATGGGCATTTTCGTCCAGTTCGAAGATGTTTACGCTAGTGTTGATGTTTTGTTTTTCAAATTTTTTCATTTGTGAAATGGGCGTTGGAAATGAAATACCATCAAAGTTGTAATGTGTTTCACACTCCCTAAAGCTATGCTCAGTAAGCACTGAGTCATAACGTATATTAGGTAGACTTTTGGCTAATATACAATACATGAAACAACAATCATTGCTGTTTTTTACATTTAAAATGCATTTCCTTTTAGCAATTTTTGGAGGCAGTGGCAGATAGCCACTTCCAGCAGGCAATGCATATGAAAATTTGCTTAGTCTAAGTGTGAGGCTCTTTACCTCATGCAAAGTCCATCCACTGCCTTTCGCCTGCGCTTCAGACTCCTCACGAAGCAGTTTGCTGGCGTCCTTCTTCAGCAGCTCTTGTAGCTCATCACAGGCGCTGTGTATAAGCCTCGACGTGGTCTTGAAGTTTATAAGTTCACAATGTCCTTCAGGATGGCAGTAGACGGCCTCCAGTACGACGTTGTACTTGAGGGATTTGGTGACACGTAGCTCATCTTGTAGTATATCGAGCACCACTTCGTTAGCAGCTTCAATAAATGGCGGTAGGTCCTTGTAGAGGTTTTCATTATTTTCTATGACATAGTCTTTGGCCGATTGAAGACCTTTTTTTAAATACCACGTCAGCCTCGTTGTTGAACTTGTATGTGATGATGGACTTGACAATACACTAGTCACAGGACGCTTAGTCACCTTTGGAGGTGGTAGTTTTCTTTTCAAGCCACTGCCACTGGGTACTGCTTTAATTTGCTGTGGAGGTGTCTGAATTGCTGCCTCGTGTGTCTCTCGTCTGTTGTCATTGTTGCTCGCTACTGCTGATGTGAAGTAGTCGTTCAACGCCAAACACATTTGCTGGTGACGGCTCCTTGCGGATGCACTAAGGAAGTAGGCTTCTCGACAGATGGCACATTGTAGATACATCTAAAACATTAATTTCAAACGTTAAGTACATTGCTCATGGTCTGCTATAGTTCTATTATATTTGGTTTGAGATTGTTTACGTTAAGTTAAAAAAAAAACATTAATTTTTAGCACTTACCTATTTTAATATTTTAATTTAAGTTTTATTGCCTGTGTTATCATGTTCAGCATGTGATTTTACAATTCAGATTCTTTAAGCTCATATTACACGCATTTTGTCTTTAGTTGTGTGGATTTCTTGCAACAATGAATGTTGCTTATATAGCTGCATGGTTTAGTGTAGTTTTTGCTAGGACAATATGAGGTATTAAGGGGCTCTTTACATTCGACTATATTAAGTTGTAAGCTCTCAAATAATAGTTTACTAAACGTAGTACCAAGAAGATATAAAACTGACAGGGCTTTCTACTTACATTGTTGTAGAAGTTTTCACAGCTAGACTGCTCATTGAAGGTTTAACATCTAAGTGGAACTTTGCAAGACGGCACGTGGGGAATGACTGCTCACTTCTAGCGCTGTGAATGTAAAAATAAAGTGTCAGTTGTCATATATAGTAGTTTCGTCAATACCAAAAATAAAGCATACTCCTTCCTAAGTAGATTTTTCATCATTATATAACAACTGAAGCTAGTTAGTTCTATCCACTGCATAGATCGTCAAATCAAAATCAAAATATCTTTATTCACCATCTATACTTGATTAGTGTCAATATGTTATATTTAAAACGTTTGTGATATAAGCTTAAAATATAATCACACAAAATTTATATTAACAATATCGAAATACCGAACAAAACTTAAGTTACAAAGTTTAGTTTTAAGCATTCATGTTTTTCTTTACGATTTTTTTTCTTGCCAATTTAATAATTTTAAACTTTGTTAATGCGAATAAAGTGATTTTTTCATAGCCAATAATGCATTCACTAGTTATCTAGCCTAACAATAATGCGGAAATCATAGAATTACACATGGTAGAGAGATGGTTGTGTCTGCACTAGCAAACAGAGACAGCACTCAAGAGTTAGACACAAAGAACGAGCTTTAAAGTTGCTTAATCTATGCATATACTAAGCTACAGCTCTAAAGACAAAATCTACACTCATTTCTAAGCATGATTTATTTATTTATTTTTCTTATTTTGCTAGCTTAACTTATGACAAAAAAAAAAATGCGTATATGCAAGTTTTTCTAAAATAATCCTACATACTTGCTAAGTTCATAATACCTAATGATTTTTCTTTCTGATAGATATTAATTCGTTTTTTTTTTAGTACGTTTTCTTTCAAAACATTGTAGTATAGAAGTGTTCTTAATTTTTTCTATAGGGTATATAGGTTAAAAATCATTTATTAAGTAATAAAGACTAAATAGTGAACATATATATTTTAATAGATATATAGTTAAAAGAAATATTTATTGACTTTTATTTATGTACCTACATCCCTAGTCACTAGGGTACTTTATATTTAATAGCTAGTTATTTGAACAAGGAAGAACCCTTAACCCTTGGCTAGCGTCATGATTTGTCCAGTAAGAACAATATTAAATGCAAACACACACTAGCGGATTATTTATTTCTTTTTACACAAACTAGTTCTTGGTGACATTTGAAATAGAATGTTTGTATTGATTTGAGAGAAGAATATTTCAAATTGTATATAGTATTGATTAAGTGTATATTCAACATATAGCCAGAGATTGTATAATTAATCTATATTAATCGTATTATTAGAAGTTTATTTAGTCATATTTATTTATTGAATATATAATTGGTTTTTAAAGATCAACGTATTTCTAATCAAACAGATTTTTAGACATCTTTTAATATTCTAGCTACATACTTCACTTCAGATTTCTAATTTAACGAGCATTACCACGTTTTACAACACTCAGATTTGACATTAAATAATTGTAAATAATTTTGTAAGTTTTGAGTCTAGCTATTTAACGTTGCTCTTATGGTAAGGAGAGCAAGGAGTTATAGGAAAAGCTTAAATCTTATGGTCTTTTTAAAATCCTAGCAACTATATTGCAAACTACGCTATGTTTGTACTTACAACTATGGAGAAGATGTTCTGGCATCACACAAGCGTAGACGACTTCGACTGATGCACGTACTGCCCCGGACGCACAAACTGACCGAGGTGCACGAGTTACTCACAATGCAAGCTGGAGTCGAATACAACTTTGCAGTGCCAATGGGCTGCTTTTATACAGTTTGTGTGAGGTCAGTGATTGTGGGGAGCCAGGATTGCTTATAAGCGGCATAAGCGTACATGGCTGCACAGTTCTCTGCACGCAACCGAACAGGTATGTCTCGTGTGCTTATGCATTAACTGTGAGAATAATCTTACTTGTATGATCTTTTAGTTTGTATATGCTTATTTAGCTTACACTTTTCTACTACTACTATAGCTCCATAATTGTATTTTCCAAGAGTGCTAGTTATATATTCTTATTTGTTGCTGTGCTGATATTTGTTTTGCGTTAATGCATAATGATGCATTACTCTCATACCCTCCACTTACTCAAGGTTTCCCCCCTTTGTCTGTCCCAATATGTGTTTTTCTCTACACTGCTGCATTTGCTATACTGTCTTGGTACTGCCTACATGTTATACTGACTAATATTTCTACTACTTGTTATATGAAACGGTATTCCTGACACATGATACAAGATAACATTGATTACAATATATCCATATGTTGTAGTGTAACAGTTTTGCTACACATTTAGCTATTTAGAGCTATTTGTAATATGTATATAGTTGCGCTACGATGGACTGCTATGTGTATGGTATTACACTCTACTAATCGATATATGCAGCGATATACTTGTTACAATCTGCAAACCTTACTTGTTGTATTTGTATATTCTAAGTGCAACGGTTTTTCTATACATTTAGCTGTTATTACTAAGCTGTTAAACGTTTTATATGTATCTAGTTGCCCTCCGTTGCGCTAATATTTCTATGATATTACACCTTGCGTTATATGCTGTGACATACTTGTTTCACGCAGCAATCTTCAATTGTACTATTTATGCTGTAGTGCTCCAGTTGTTTATGCATTGTCTATTAATGCTAAGCTAGTTAACTCGATAAATTTTCATTATATCAGTACTCGGCCTATAATATGGCATACTATTAGCACGACTTTAAAATAGGATATTTTTTTTTTATAGATCATAATCATGGCCCTAGCAGCAAAACTCAACACCCTGGAGAAAGGACCATACCTCCCTAAGATCGACGTTTCGGCGCTTACTAACAAAGAGGGCTACTCCATTGTGGCAGGGAGGGCAGTAAACACCAAATACGGAGCGTCCATCGTCCTAGACATCCATGTGCCAGAAAAGAGTGCCGACTTCTGTATATTCTTACCAAAGCGGTTCAGCGAGGCGTTGAGTTCAGATGAACTGAAGGAAATCGCTGAGAGCAAGGCATATCGGGTTCAATACTTGGGGATGAGCGGGAACTCTCCAAATATAAAAATTTGGAAACAATAAATGTTTGATATTTGCTCACTGAATACGTATTTAGTTTATTCAGTCCTTTTTTAGTCTTAAGTACTGTATGTAGATGTAGACATGTGTATTTTACGCAAGCGTTACTTAACTTAGTGTCAGCTCTCTAGGTCAGACAGGTTGCGCTGAGTTGCATTCATGACCTAGTGCGCCGAATTGAAAGTGAATTCACTTTCTACTGCAATCACT